CTTCCCCGTATAAAGTATACTAACGGATGGTTGACCAATATCAAGTATGATCGAGAATTTATTTAAAAAAATGCGTTTAATGATAACTGTTATGTTTACCTCCATCAATTGGCTCATCCGTAATCTGCAGAAGCCTGAGAATATCCTTGGTCATGTACATGCAATAAAATTCTGTAAAAAAAACAAGATCACTTGAGATCAAAGAAACCAAATTTCAATAGGTGAATATTGTGTATTGCCGACCCGGTTTGATTGCTCATTACGTTATATATTCTTATGGATTACAAACGATACAAGAAAAAATTGATGCAAAGCATCAAAGGGCGTCCAAGCAAGAAATAAAACAAGAGGGCCATGATGGCCCTAGATCGCTCACCTGAATTATCAAACTCATCCAAACAATTACCTAGACAAGCATTCTGACCAAGTCTCATGACAGGTGAGTCAAAAATGTGACCACTACAGTGTTAACAAGGATTATCCATATTTGAGCAGTGCGACCTAGTTTTTTACCCAGGTGACACATATTCAAACTTGACCTAGAAATCATCAAAACAAACTTTCAGACCAATTTCCAGGATACTTGGATCAAAACAGTAGCAACTAGAGTGTTAACAAGATTTTTCTATTTTTAGCTCCGGTGACCTAGTTTCACATGCGATTTCGAACTCATCCAAGCAATTACCTAGACAAGCATTCTGACCAAGTTTGATGATAATGGAGTCGAAAATGTGACCACTAGAATGTTAACAAGGTTTTTCCATATTTGGGCGGTGTGACCTAGTTTTTCATCCAAGATGACCCATGTTCGATCTTGACTTAGAAATCATCAAAACAAACTTCAGACCAATTAACAGAATATTTGGATCACAACAGTAGCCACTAGAGTGTTAACAAGATTTTTCTATTTTAGCTCCTGTGACCTAGTTTTTCATCCGAGATGTCCCATGTTCGATTTATTCCCAGCAATGACCTAGACAAGTTTCCTGACCAAGTTTGATGACAATTGAGTCAAAATTGTGACCACTAGAGTGTTAACAAGGTTTTTCTATTTTTAGCTCCTGTGACCTAGTTTTTCATCCGAGATGACCCATGTTCGAACTCATCGGAGTTATTACCTAGACAAGCATCTTGATCAAGTTTGATGATGATTGATGCAAAAATGTGACCGCTAAAGTGTTAACAAGGTTTTTCTATTTTTAGCTCCGGTGACCTACTTTTTCATCCGAGATGACCCATGTTCGAACTCATCCAAGCTATCAACTAGATAAGCATCCTGACCAAGTTTGATGATGATTGATGCAAAAATGTGACCGCTAGAGTGTTAACAAGGTTTTTCTATTTATAGCTCCGGTGACCTAGTTTTTCATCCGAGATGACCCATATTCGAACTCATCCGAGCTATTATCTAAACAAGCATCCTGACAAAGTTTGATGATGATTGGGTCAAAAATGTGACCACTAGAGTGGTCACAAGGTTTTTCTATTTTTAGCTCCTGTGACCTAGTTTTTCATCAGAGATGACCCATGTTCGAACTCATCCAAGCAATTGACTAGACAAGCATTCTGACCAAGTTTGATGATGATTGGTTCAAAAATGTGACCACTAGAGTGTTCACAAGGTTTTTCTATTTATAGCTCCTGTGACCTACTTTTTCATCCGAGATGACCCATGTTCGAACTCATCCGAGCTATCACCTAGACAAACATCCTGACCAAGTTTGATGATGATTGGGTCAAAAATGTGACCTCTAGAGTGTTCACAAGGTTTTTCTATTTTTAGCTCTTGTGACCTAGTTTTTCATCTGAGATGACCCATGTTCGAACTCATCCGAGCTTTCAACTAGATAAGCATCCTGACCAAGTTTGATGATGATTGAGGCAAAAATGCGACCGCTAGTGTGTTCACAAGCAATTGTGGACGGCCGGACGGACGACGGACGACGGACATTCATCGATCCTAAAAGCTCACCCTGAGCAAGCTCAGGTGAGCTAAAAAAAGTGAAGATGAACTAATAGACATCTGATGACCATATATTCTTATAAACTTTTCAATGGTTAATTGGTTTTTACCAGTATTGTATATCATTTGTGAATGGACAGACAAAAGACATTGTTCATCATGAATCTTGGTAGGCATGCTAGAGATTAGAATATTAATTTTTTTTCCACAGGAACATGAAATTCTATCAATATTAACGATAATATCCAAAATATACAGGTATATAACATCCAAAATATACCCCTATATGGTTTCCGTTTATTTATATTATATAGGGGGTATTTTTGGATATTATCATTCATATTGGTTATTTGATAGAATTTTGAGTTTATGTGGTATTTTCTTTGGAACATAAAAAAATTAGTAGTCAAAATGAACAAAGTCTGTTAATTGATTTATTGGGAGGTCAATCTACTATCTTAATGAATTACTTCAAAAAACCTTGTCTGACCCACCAATGTGTTGACATTCCTTTCAATAAACCCATAACAACTCATGTTAAAATTACAGACGAAACTTTCTGTTGTTAAAATGTCACAATATTCGGCAAATGAACATTCCACTCAAACTAACATAAAATCGATTGCATTCAAACAAAAATATAGTATATTTACGGTAAAAATGTCATAAGTTCAATCAGGGCCGTAACAAAGAAAACCGGAGACCTACGGAAAAGACCATTACAAAATGATAATACTACGATGTAACAATTTCTATTGATTCTAAAAGAGTGCAATTCATTATTTGAATATGTTTGCATTTCATTTCCTGCAAAATTCTCCAGTTAGTTATTTATTACCATGGCGTGAAACGAATGACCGTTTCGTTCAACTTAAACTACTTATATAAATAGATTTTCGAACTTTCACAATGTTAAGGTCATCATTCTATTTATAGGTACAGCAATAACATACATAATAACCCACACGATTGATAAAAAACCGAAGAGCGCGGTTGATTGACGGAAAAGATAATTTCATTTGAATATGTTTGCATTGCGAAATTCTCCAGTGCGCTATTCATTGTACATATCGCAACATTTCATTTTTGATAATCAAACACCCTCGTACCAATCGGAATCATCGGCTATTATGACAGACGAAAAGGCCCGAGAATTTGCAATTGTTCTTTCATAAAATATCATTTCATTCCATAAAGGGTGTCGCGCTTTGGCGCGTACGCCAAAAATATATAATAAATAAGAATAAATATTCTAATTATTTCAAGGACAGACAAGCATACTTGTTCTTTAGCATCTACCTATAGATTTTTAGCTTGGTATTACAAACAAACAGGAAACATTATAACTAGCAAGGCAGTGCTACAACTTTTCTATTTTTAACATTAACGATACTGAAATATTTATGGGATGGTCCAAAACAAAATGTACCGCATCATCAAACGTATACCTTTTGTTTATTATTTAATAATCGTCGACTTGCTTCTTTAGCTCTTTAAACTGTATATTTCTTTTAGTCATTATCATGTAATTATAATAAAAGTTAAAAATGTAAAATGTACGAAGAACGAATGTTTTAAACACGATTCTTTTCGACGCTTATAAGCGTGCCAATTATGATTAAAATAGCAAAGATTTAACCTTGACGAAAACTGAAATGATTTCATTGTAAAAGCATTTAAACGGGGGGGAAAAACAACACATTCGTTCAAACCTGATTAATAAAGCAAAATGAGGTTAAACGAATTCCCAAAAGAACATTCAAAAATTGAAAATGTTGCAGGTTGTGTGTGATTGGGCCTGTTCATGGATAAGTCACTGTCAGTTATCTTTTGAATTTAATAAAATCGATATAACTCTTAAAACAAACGTAATAATGTAAGTATTTTTAATTATTCTGATTCATCATTATTTGTTATTTGTATTAAAAAATCAAGAAGCTTGAATATTCATGAAATTCATCAAATAAGAAAATACTAGAGCATTTTTTTAATGTTCGGAGGAAAGGCCTATGAATGGTTATATAATCAATTATTGTCCTTGCACACTGGTTCCGCTTTGTTATAGGCCTCTAATGTTATGAGTATATGTAGCTTGACGTCAAACAAATTTCAACACAAGTTTTCTTTAGTGTTTTGTAATCAATATATATGCATGAAACTTGTAGTCAAACCCTAAAAAATATTCCGTCGGAATCTTGATTATGGCAGGTAAATTAATGAGTACCTATCCGGGGATAAAAATCGTAATATAATATCGTTATGTTTCATATGTAGTGATTCTCTTGTCTTCCTTTGTTATAGATGGGTAGGTTTTTTAGCCAACTTGTATATGTTATTCATAAAAATAGAATTTGCATTGGACAGTTACATGATTGTCCCTATTTTATTTAAATTGAAATAAACACAATATATGAAAAATTAATCAATTAAACATATAAATAGTATTAAGGACAGGCATTCAAACAGTTTGTCAACTGTAGTGGAGGCGTAGGTGAGTGATAAACACTTCGAACTAGTAGACTAAGGTTTGCAGGCTGTGTGTATCGAACCCCGTCAAGGACAAGCTGTTATTTCCTTAAGGAAAAAAACTTTAAGTTTATACATAATAATCCTAATAGAACTGAAACAAATTCTGCAAAAACTATGTAACCTTTTTATCAGTATTTGGTCATAATTTAAAATTTAGTAAGCTTATAAACGTCTTGTATTGGAAACTTAAACCAATGTTAATGAACGCTTGACTGACAGTGTTTGACTTATTGGTATTTAGTTACAAAAAAGAATGCGTTATAATTTTGTTTTGAATTGAAACAAAGAAATCGTAAAGCAGACAATTTGATATTATATAATATGACTACATTCATAGAGAAAGAATATTTTTAAGTGGGGACTTCAATAGTGTTCAAACATTCGTGATTATTGTTATTTTGATAATTATTGATTTACTGCTGTAGTGATAAGGTAATCAATTTATTTTGAAAACAGTTTTCTAAATTAACTAATCTGTACTTGTTTGTTGTAATTGAAATGTCGCACTTTACACAAATTTAAACAATTTGAGTTCATTTACTATGCGAAAATAATTACTTATTAAAACTAAATCATTTGATATTATACTTAATAGAAACACCAAGAGGAAGATATGGCTAAAAGAAATCCTGAGCGACTAGAAGTAACAAAAATCCGCTATTCAAGAGATGTTATCGATGAAAAATTTGATAATGGGAAGAAAATGAGTGATGTTCTGAGTGATCTTAGGACAGGACTTTTAGATTTAGATACATTGCCAAAAATAACAGTTGTCAGGAAAGGTAAATTATTCTTTACACTTGACAACCGGCGACTATGGATGTTTAAACAATACGCTAAATTCTTACAAGAAAACAGGAGTGAGATTTTACAAGTACCTGTTAAATTTGAGTCTTTGGCAAGGTTAGGCCCTTCTTGGCTGACAACGACGAGCGAAGGCGAGTTTATTGAAGTTCAACATAATGGATCAGCTAAAGCCCATGTGAATATTCTGACTGTTAAGTTGTCCGATATACGTTACAGCAGCGATTGTATTACTGAAAAAAACATGGAAAAGAAATTCGACGCAAGGTTTGGTAATATCCACGAAACGGCCAAACTACCAGTGCTTAAAGTTGTCAAAAAACAAGATATTCTATATGCTCTAGACAATGAACAATTGTGGATGCTTAAACAATGGTATGAATCTAACTATATGGGTCCTGAGGGAATACAATCTATGTCTCATTCAAGTAAAAATGACGACATGAACCCTGATGAAGGTGCAACAGGTAACAGTGATTTACAGGAAGACAACTATGTCGATGTGTGTGAAGATTTTACAATAAAGGTAGAACTACGACCATATAAGGATCTTCCGGAACACTTTAGCACATTAGATGGTGGAACAAATATTGAATTTCGGAATAGACAAACAAAACATAGAGTGCTAAAATATAAGGCACTCACAAGACAAGAGGCGAGACAAGATAAGAAAGATTTAATAAAATATTGCAGATCTTACGAGAAGCAACCAAAAGGCACATTTAAGTTCTTTCGGAAACTGAAGAAACCTAATCCTGATAATTAATTAAATCCAAATTTAATCTAACTGAGTTAAACGTATAACGGAAAACATATATATTTCAGTAGGTATTTGTATTGTTTTGATATGTTCTTTGTCTCACTGATGGCATGTGCATAAAAAGTAACATGTTGACGGTTTATGTTTTAGAGAATTATTTTTGCATCTTTTTATGTTTATTTTAATTGCTAGAAACTCGTATTTATCGCCAAGATTTGCATTTGTATACAATTTCTGAAGCAAATCGGACATGAAACACAAATTGTAGCCCCGAATTTTTGTTGGTATATTTAGTCGAAGAGCCGATGTCTTTTGTTTCATTCTCTTTGCTTTGATCTAATACATTGGTACACTTGTCGAATATTTTACCTTGATATTTTATGACAAAAAAGGCAAAACATCATAGAGGTTATCCCCCGTTTCTTTTGATTTTAATTGTTTTCCTTAATCAAACAATTGTTCGACTTTAATCATTTCTTTTTAACATGATATAAGGCGTGTACAACGTTATAATTTAGCAAGTTGTTTGTGCTGCTTCTTAACCCTGAACATGCTGAATATCTTAAATGGACTTGTCCCACTTCCATTTTTGGGACTGTCCATTATCAATTTTAGGGATATCAATTTGAATATTGAAAATGTGTCAGCCAACAGTATAGAGCCTGGTCAGACTGCACGGATGTGCAGGCTGGCCTGGATCTATACTGGTGGCAAAGGCGTAACATTTTCGGTTCCAGCACTTTAAGGGTTAAACATCATGTAGCAAGGAAATGATTTCAAAATTGAGAGTGAAGATCATTTAGCCGAGACCAATGTTTAAACTTTCAAATTCAACAGTTTTGCAGTTGTGAACATTTCTCACAAATGTCAACCAGAAATACAGAGATTTGTTTCGAAATGGTCAAAATTGTTTCACGACAAGCACATAATAAACGTTTACAATCTTAAACTATTACACGTAAATTCACAATATTTTGCAAAAAAAGACGGATGTCTGCAGGTATTTAATCTTTTAAACATTATTATCAGTTTTTTCGTAAATGTTATTTCATTAGCATTATATGAATGAATATTATGGTGGTTATGCTACTTTATTACAGTAGAAAAATAATAGAAATAAATAGTCGCAAACCGGCCTCTATCCTGTCGTGTTCTGAGGCCGGGACTAACGAATTATCTGGCTGAAATTTCCTAGTTATTATATTATAGAAAATGATCTGGTATTGTCAAATTTCTAACATCCGCTATAGAAGTAAAATGTCTATAACCTAATTGTTTATACAAGTGGTGGCAATGTCTGTCGACAATTTGTAAATGTTTTGGTGTAATATGGTTTCTCCAAACCCCTGCTCGGTATTTCGAATCCTTCACGGGCTTTAAACTTGTTGAAATAATAAATCGTTTATCATTTGATGAAAATGGTACACCTATAAACCTAAATAATTGCTGTCCGATATTCAATGGATTGTCTGCCAAGTCTTCATAACGTAAAGTGTATATCTGACTTTGGTATGACTTCCTTAGCCTTTCAGAAATGTCAAGGTCGTTTTTCATACGAGCACACATATATCGGGTTCTTTTTACAAATAACGGCAATGATTTTACATTCATGTCGTTTTTCCTCAACTGAGAGTCCATCATTGCCCTAGGATCTCTCAATAAATGTATGACACGTAGATTCCGAAAATTAGGAATAATGTTTTCAACAATTTCCATAGTCATTCTTATATATTTTGCCAATCTTACAGTTGCATTCCTGCATTTGTTGATCAATTGTGGTAAACAAGAATTGATAGTTTCAATTTTATCTGTCAAAGGTATATTTTTAAAACCATTTTTATGTTTTCTGTTTCTATATGTGATTGAATTCATATGTTCTAGATCATTATTATTTCTAATAGTTTGCCGTTGCGGCAGATGATCATCGTCAGGTATTTGTGTATCATAGCCATTTGTATGTTTGTAAGGTTTCAATCTCGATATGATTTTATCATTATTCCTGAAACTCTGAAAATTCTCCCTCCCAGAATGATTAATCAAATACTTTCCTCTAGTTCCAGAAAATATATTATTTTTGCTTTGATTTTTCTTCTGGCATTTAAAGAAATCAGCAATATCCTTATTATCGGTGGTCTCTAACCCCTGATACGGTGTAGACAAGGTCGCTATATCCAGTTTGTGATGATTGCAAGTAATTGTGTTTCTTACAGCGTCTGTTCCAATCTGAGTGTCAAGGACCTCTCCCGATATTCTTCTGTTAAAAAATACAACAAATATTTTATATAAGTTCTTTAAAATTATATTTTTCAGTGACAGATAAATAAAAAAATATTCAACGCGCATATACACTCATGTGCATACACAAAAGGCAAACCTAAAGTTCTTGATAAAATTTCGAGTCCAAACGTTGCGGCTTATGTCCAACGTGACATCCGTGTCTGCGTGGTTATGGTCCACTGGCCCCTCGCCGCTGTGGGTTCGAATCCAGCCAGGGACTTTGGATTTTTATGTCAGGAAGCTATCTAGCTAGCTAACGGACCCACGATAGTTTTACTCAGGTGCCCATTAGTGCCTTAGATAATACATGGAGGAGCATCTTAGGGATTCCTCAGCCAGTAAAGCTGGAAAGCCGATACATGTATATGACCTTTACAGTGCGGAGTAAAACCCAACTCAAAATTAAAAAAAAATAGTATGCTACAACTATTATTTAATTTCATTTCGTTTTAAAACATATTTGAGAAAAAATACTTTAGTTTTGTAAGGATGACATATGTATTCTTGTTATTTTAGTTTTATTGCTTGTTCATTGAAAAACAAAACTTATGTAATTACGGCTAGAAATCAATTTGATTAAATGTAAAACTCTATAGCTAAAAGGAAAAGATGACTTTACTTATATGTTCCATTCAAAAAGAATATCGGCGAATTTCGTCGGGATCTTTCTAGTAAACTTCGTAAAGGTTCAAACTCGTAGAATGTGCCCGTATGTTGTTGTATAATCCTAGCAGTATATGAGGAGCCTGTATGCATGTACGCCAGTATGACAACTAGAACTGGACCTGTGTTGTTTGATTTTATGGTCTCTTGAGCTGAATTCATATTACGTAGTGTTTGATTTTCCCTATCTGATACATGTGAAGTATGTATAGTAGTTGATGAGAAACTTTTTGATTTTTCAGCCATGTTTATTTGAAAGTTTTTGTTACCTGTTTCTTCGTTTGTTGATTGATTATCAGTTATATTTAAAACATCTACATTTAATTTATTTTTGTTATATCCTCTTGTTTGGTTATCTTCTATAAGCCGTGTTTTGATTGGTTGACTACTGCTCCTGATGACGGAAGGGCGATAAGACTCGTAAATATTTTTGTATTCTGAAAGTAAAATTAAATTAGCCATGCTTCATTATAATGTAAAATTATATTGTGATCGTAAAAGAGTGAAGCATTTAAAAAACAAAATATCAATGCAAAGCGTTATTATCATCACTGATTATATTAAACTCATTGTCACTTTATTTGTGGATTTCAAACTTTGACTAAAAACTTAATTTGTTTAAAACACTTATGCCAATTCATCATAATTTAATGTATGGGTGTAAGCAATAAAAAATAAACACATTATTGCACAAAATAGTTTTGTTCTTTTGTTATTGCAATTAGAGAAACGGGGAGCATATAGATGATTGTGGTAGAGTTTTATTTGTTAAAAGAGTGTACATTGCTATGGTATCAAAATAATACCAGAAATCATTTTTCAATTAAATCAGGCTTCTCAAATGATTTAATAAAAGCGCAAGATGTACTTATCAGATATAAAATTTAAAGGTAACCTTGCTTGTATACATGTTTCCTTGTTAATAACAGCGTTAACACAGTCACAACGAGGGAGAATATTATCACGTGACGGGTACATCTACTTTTTTTGGTTGACGCCATGTTTTATTTTCTCACGTAAAGTGGGTATGTGTGTCTGAAAAGAGAACTAAAACACATTGTGTGGAACATAAATATCCTTATCAGGTGAAGTGCGTCATGAGTTTTTATATATACGAGAACGAAAGAACTTTGAAAACGCACGCTTTAATTGTTAAAGAGTGTTTTTACAACGAAATCACTTAGAATATCAATACATTTGTTTTCACGAATTTCTTGCCATTGATTACACGCCAATATGACTAATATACTAGTATTTCAAATAAATTTATTTATAAAAAAATCGCATGTTAAAAATAGTACCACAAAAAAAAATCTGACTAAAGTTTTCATCTGCTTATTTCTTACATGTAGCGTTATTATGGAGCCTATTTTAATCAGGTTGCACTTTTCGGTAGTTATGAAAAGAAAGAATAATGCTAGTCTTCGGTTAACATAACGAAATTTCGTGCTTACTGAAAGATGTGTTCGTATCTAAATTTATCTAAACTGTAACATTGTTTTCGTAAAATTATTTCTACTTTTGAAGTCATTAAAACTTCACATCTTTCAATAATTGAGTTCAACACATACTTTGGTATTCAATGTTTTCTTTTAAATGTAATATACAGTGTAATATTATATGAGAATAAGAAGAATATAATAATGGACGCTAGTCAATAATTTCATATGACAGTTCATGCATGGCGAATTTCTTTTTTTTTTCAAACAAAAAACTGATGAATTTCACATTTCATAATAAGAAACTATGTCTTGAAGATTATGGTGCTACCAAAATATCGAAGCTTGATAGCCTTTGGACAGAAACAGACCAGCGTATATATCAACAAGTCACCATCAATCGTTTTGATTTCAATCGACTTCCTCGGCACCATCTTACTTCAGGTACCGTCAACAATCTACCAAGAACTAGGCAGCGGAGAGCGGCGACATTATGTCAACATTTTAACATCGACTACAAGACATTGCTATATCAAAACGGGTACCCATAGGAAACGGGAGTAATTATTCAGGATGCAAAGATCTGATGATCAAATCAGATCTTCTGCTGTTTGACAACGATAAAAGGCTGATCATCCAAAGATTACTATTTACATTTGCACCTGGTATTTTTTGGTGAACTTGTAACATCACACAGTTTAACTTCTTTCATTAAATTCAATTGTCATGTTTATAGTTCATAAAGTAAATTTATAATATACATTTAATGGAATCCTCTATAATTCAGTTTCGTGTAAAACCCAAATAATACAGGTGTGCCTTTTTGAAGTAAATATACGTTCATTTCTATTTTATTTAAAACGACAAATTAACAAGATTTATATCGTTCGATATTATATAAACTCTATTGTTATAATTTAAAGACACGAAAAGAGGCGGAATATACAGAATTTGCACGATAATAGATATATGCCTATACGATCACGCTTTTATTATATTTGAAAGGGACACAAAAAGAGGCGAAATATATCACCTTGTAACGATCGTATGGTTGAATATATGACAAATGACTTTAATTTCAATTCTGACCAAAAATTTAATGATATTAACCTTATAAATCTTAATAAATGATAAGCCGTATAAGTTTATTTCTCTGTTATTTTACTGTAATTTACATGATATCACGGTCAACTCTTGCCGGAATGTGGCATCCGGATATCTATTATAGAAACAAGGAAGTTATAACAATTGCTTCTAAATCCTTTATGCCACATTAATTTTATCAATCATACTTTATATCGTAATTGTTTTAGCAATTTACATTCTACTTTTATATTCATGATGTATGAGTCGAGTCCTTTAACATTGTAAATAAATTAATATTGATTATTCAGTGTTAATTTAATCTAATACCTTTAGATATTGCATAATGATCGGACATCTGTTTTATATGATTTCTGATGCTATTTCTGAATTTGAGAAACATAATATTGTTTTACACAATCAACATACGAATTATCACAGTCTTAATATTTTTAAAGCTAAGTGTTAAATCCTGTTTTAAAGGTTTCTTTATTTATAATCAAATTATTTAACATTATAACATTTAGCATAATAAGTATTATAGTATTTTATATTCTAATATTTCGTATTTTAACATATTGTATGATATTATAATATTAAGTATAAGTGTAGTTAGTATTTTAGCATATTTATAATATTATGATATTTAATTATATTTAACGAAGTTAGCATTTTAACATATTGTATGTTAGTATTTGATATCATCATAGTTTTTATTATTAAATTATTTAGGATAATATAAGCGAGAAATATCAAACATCAAAGAAATATTAAATAAAGCTAAATAATGAATCTCACCACCCAGGTTATACAAAAAATGAAAATAGAAGCAAATACCTTTTGTTGTCTGCAATTCCTTATCATTTCACTGCTTTGAAATATATTTGTAGCATACAATTTAATATAAAAAATCCTCGTTGATTGTCAAGGAAACAGTATAATATCACGAGGTAAAATCACCGTATTATTGATTTTACGCTTGATGTTTCATATCTAGAAAAAGTATTTTATATCGCATATAGTCACTTTCATGTCCACTGTATCATTAATCATTCATTAATCATCTTAATGCAGTGTAAATTCTAACACAATCACGCATTAGATATTTCGTGCTTAATTACATTTAGTATTGTACACATGGATTCGTGAAATTTCACGCGTAAACAGAAAAATGTTTATAGTATTTATTTTAAATAAATGTAAAACAGAACACGCTGTACCACAAATGTCAATCGCCGAAAAGTACAATTTACCGATAAGAAATATGTATTATTTTAATAAATTTAAGGTGAATAATTATAAATCTTCATTGTGTCTGATTTAAATATTGATAGTTAAAACTTTAAAAGATCATCTGCTTGATATTAATATCAATATTAACAAATTGTTCAGATAATGTTGCGACCATATGTAGTGGTGTTGGTAGTTTACCCTCCGGATCACGGTAGAAAGCCACATTGAATAATAAATGAGCCGCGTCACGACAGAACTTACATAGTGCGTTTGCGACCAGCATGGATCAAGACCAGCCTGCGCATCCGCGCAATCTGATCAGGATCCATGCTGTTCGCTTACAAACCCTATAACAAGTAGAGAAATTGATAGCGAACAGCATGGATCCTGATCAGACTGCGCGGAGGCGCAGCCTGGTCTGGATCCATGCTGGTCGCAAACCCATTATGTTGGTTTTGTCGTGACGCGGCTCATTAATGTATATGTTGACCGCAACATATGATATCAGAACGCATTACTTAATTCGCGTCGTTACTAGTTTTTTTCTCGGTCATGGCATATTTCTATATGACTGGTGTTCTCAGATATTAATAAAAACAATGGAAATGTAATATTTGGATATATATTTTGTATATTTTTTCAACATAATTTTGCTTGAAAAAAATTGATAAAATTCTTAGTTCTAAGTTATTCCGTTTGGACATTTATATGATAAATAAAATACATTATATTTTTATTCTTAAACATTTTATTATCTGCTGTATAAACATATGTAATATGTCGTATTGTGTATCTCACACCTGCCAACAACATACATAAACTTATTTCGTGGTTTGTTGTTATGTCTGACAGACACTCAAGGTAACTATCATTAAAACTACAAATATTTCACTGCATTAAAACAACATGTTCCATAGCAATAAGTACAATTTATCAATACAAAGACATGGTATTGTAATTGTATTACAGATCTTCAATTATAGATCAATTCGATTTTTAAAAAAAGTGTGTATTCCTGACAAAATCGTCATTTCAATTGTACAAAACATGTGTAAAGAATGTTACAGCTATTACATTTAATACTTAACAATCTTAACATAGGAGATTGAAAGGAATGAGTTAAGCCATTTTTTTAACATTTGTTTTGTCCTGTTTTAATATAGATTTTGATTACTATCATCATGTCTGTTGGTCAAAATTTGACGAATTACTGTAACAAATAAACAATTGAACATTTGAATATATATTGGTTAATTTAATTTATTATCTTTATTTTCTAGTATTACTGTCTAGTATCGTGAATTATCAAGATAATAGTTTACTAGCAAATGGTAAATATCATCAGTCAAAAACAAATATTCTACTTTAAAATATTACAACTGGAAATCTTTAACGTGATGTTTACTTGCTGTGATATACATGCAAAACAATGAGACTTTTAACATGCTTACATATATGGACACATTTTTCTTCTATTAAAATTTTTTGACAATCCTTTACCACAGTTTATTGTCGTAACAGTAAACACAGTATAGAGCCTGTTGTACAATAAATTAATTGAGATATAAGACAAAACCTTTCATAATAAAGTCATAATCACCGTGGTAATGCATTCCACCTTTCGTCATAGCATGAAAACCAATAGATAGATTTAAATGCATGTGCACCATATATGGTAGTAATGTGCATGCGTTTCAATCATTCTTGAAAATTACGTAATGTAATTGCTTGGTGTCATACTACATATTTTCTTAAAATCTCCATCATAAAGCATCTCTCAATTTGTGCGTCATGGTTCCGGTATATTTTACCCAGAATCAAATCAGAAAATGTTTTCTAGTATTTATTACAATTATTTTCCTATTGTGTATACAATTTTTAAAGATACAGCACTGATAAATTCACGCATGCATAAGAATTTTGTAAATATTCTTTTTACTAGTAACTGTTATGTATTAAGGACCTCTGTGAATGAATTGTAAAAAGCGCGTTCTTAAGAACAATAACATCGACCTTAATGGCCTGGATTCCAGTTTAGTTTGCAAAACATAATAATGATGGCGGCATGGTCGAGTTGTTCGGACCAGTATCTGAATCGCTGTCCGCGTAAGTTCAAACAGCGTCAGTGACCAGCCGTTGTTTCCTTGAGAAAGATGCACTACACTCATTGTTCAGTACTGGTTGGTTCCAGGAACGTAATCGACGAGAGTGTATTGGTATTGGTATTGTCTTAAACAAGAAAACAGCTTTTTCTTCAACGATATTAACACTTTAAATATAACTATAAGATTTCAAAATTTACATAGCTTAACAACGATGAATTCTCAATTTGATTACCTCATCATTGATGTCGCTTTTTAATGATACATATTTTTTTCTTTAGAAATCTCGACAATTTTCATCGTGTATCTTGTAACGGATTTCTTTTCTTTTGTTTCGTTTCATTTCATTTCAACAATTGACATTTTATACTATTCAAGTTTATTGATAATCAATGCTATATTTACTTTTAACTTTTCTTTAACAGAAATATAATACTATAAGTACTTATTTTCATTTCTTCGTAGATATTTATTTTCTCCAGAATAGGTAATAAAGATTATTTCAATTTTCTATTTGGCTCATGTTCATTAGGCGTAATATGTTAATTGCTCTTTAACAACATCCATTGGACCAGATATGTTTCAATGTGATAAAAGCATTTTCAATAATTTGTAGCGGCACAAAACTGAGAGAAATAACGCGACTGTACGATATTAGTGTATGTTTACATAGCAACAATACAATATAACAATATAAATATCTATATTTGTAACATAATCAGGAAACACAAAGCATCTGAGCTATTTCGTTTGTTTTAGAATAGTAAATAGTTTATTTAGCACATACATTCATTAATAAATCCCTACTCTGACCTTTTATTGAACAATAAAAAGATTTAACCACAAACGTTGATATGTGCTCTTTTGTGAACGAATATTTGTGGTGAAATTCTTATTGCAATACATTAAAGACACATTATCCTCAGACATTTAGTATGGAATCTTAAAACATATTAGACGAGTATAAGGTTGATATAATGTTGAGCTGTTATTTATAATCTACATGTAGTTATTTTTGGCAAAACACTTTAGATAATAATAATCAGAATTCTATACAGATGCTGCAAAACGAATTTATAATTTCTAAACCACAGTAAAATGGAAACAGTTTATGGAACTTTTTCTTACGTTCATATTATCAATTGAACTCCGGAGTGGACTTTGTCGAAATGAGTGAAAGATATGCTGATTCATAAAAAATAAAGGCGACATATGTGATGCAATTTCAAAACTAAACCCGAACACAAACTTCTCAGTAGGTACATGTGAGGCCACAGTTGTGGCAATTGTTGTCTCTTTTATCACATGGGCAACAAAATGCAATCCGTGTCAAACCTGCATTATAACAACTGACATACAGTTATGTACTGAAAACCTTCTGTTGTGAGTATAGCATTTCATGACAACGGAAGATACAGATGTATATATGTATTTAGTGTGCTACACCCCGGTATTGCTATACAACATATGTACAGCACCCATAATTCGCATACTGACTAAAATGCGGTACCTCACCAACACTTTGATGGTTTTTGCTTTTGTGTAAAGTTTATGTTGTCCTAAGTTAATATCGCGTTGAAATATTTTAAAAGATAAAGAACTTTCAGATAATCAAACTAATACCTGTATATTTCTTATACGAATATAAAATGGGATAATTCAAAATAATTGTTCATCAGAAATCCGAACCGTTTCCTTTTAATGTCCCATATAAAATGCATTTTTTGTAAATGATTTATTCATAATTTCTCCTGTTCAAAATTCACAGGTCCTGAAAAAATAATCAGACAACTCATTAGAAATACAGCAAATATATATTAATCAATCCAAGCCTGCAATATTTTCAATTTTATTGTTTTGTACGTTCTTTAGGGATTCCGTTTTTCAATATTTTGAAGCATGTATCAATATTCTTATTCCAGTAATTGCCTGCCTAAAAGCACACTTGGCATGTCTTAATTTTGCAATTCATTTATCTTCCTATCGCTCATATGAAGACGAAGAAAAGTTTACATAATATGTTTCAACGTTTCCTAAAGAATATTTTTCTTTGTGTTTTTAAGGTGTTCTTCCAATATTTTTTCAACGACATGTAATGCACTGAAATCGTATTTTTAAATTTGTAGTATAAATTATATACCCACCTAAAATCAGAGGCAACAGGAAGGGTAAAAATAGAAAGGTAGTTAAAGGAATCAGAGACCTCAGATTTCGATCTGTTTGTAACAAACTATCTGAAACAACAAAATATATCTTAATCATGTTTCATGTTTGCTATATGAAAACAATTTATAATTATATCTTCTGGTACGTACCGATGACATTTTTGTTTAATATACCTCAATATATCCTTTAATGTAAAACTCCCATCGACTTATGTGTTCTGACGGAATGTAAAACTTTTATTGATTTATGTGTTTCGATCTAATATTGCCTTCATAGGTTGAACTTCTCTATTGTATACCAGGACAGTTTAGTAACTATGGAAACGTTGTAACAGTGATGCACAATCGTAATAAATATTTTCGCAAAATGTTGTAATGCACTATTTTACTCACCTTGAATAGCTACTCCGGACATACCAGCGACACATGCACCTAATAATACCCCACCAACATAACCATACAGCAACATTAACACCGGCCATACAATTGCTCCTGATGTAATACCACCAATAAAACCAAATACAATAGCTACCACGTCAGAGACGCTGTTGCCATCATTGCCTATACGATGAAAAACTTTAAATATTCTATCATTTATTTGACTAGATTACAGACATAAAAACAGAAATAAAACAGTTCTGAAAGAAGGCAAGTTATAAATAATTGACTATAAAATGTTATGTTTTGATTTAATAAATATGCTAATCTCTTGCAAAATGATCGCTAAATAGTACAACAAAGTTCAATGATTTGAAAACCTGAAAATGCATGTTTTTAGTCTGTTTTGATAGATAAACCGGTACAATTATCTTTTTATACCAAAGAATATACATGTATGTTAAAGATGTTGAGTTAATTATTTTTTTCGCAATATGATCAGTGATCTTTAAATTAAATAAGTGTGTTACCTTTATCAATATGAGTAGTCATGTAGCACAAATAAAGTCTCTTTCCAATATAGCATAAATAAAAAGGTAGTTTTTAGTTAATGTTTCGAAAGTCAGTTTGTAAAATGACAAATTATGAGATATCTGGTTAAATTTCAATCTTCAAATTTTCCTCTAGGCGTGCGGTTTGAATGTACATGTATTTGAGCGAATTGTGTTGATAGTTATTTTTTTCATCGTTTTTAATGGTTATATTTATATATATATATATCAAAACTTTGTAAACTTGCATTTCCCACTGCTGTCAATAATCATGTTTTATTAAGTTGAACCTGCAACATTTTCATTTTGCCGCATATGAAGACCTTTCAGGGTTTAGTATTTCCCATTTTATTACAATTTTTATTTTAGTATTCCTTTCATAATCGATACCAAATAAAGAGATTATGACAGTCAAAGAATAGTAAGTCTAAAACTTACATTATTCAATATCCTATTGTTTACTTCAAGTCTGTTACCCTATCCTTCATGTTAAATATATTGCAAACATAAATATGGAAAAAAAACTGATATCGAAAGAAAATGTAATCAATATAGTGTTTAATGCTTACATGGTAGATAATTCAATTTCAACGAGTAAACATTAAAATGGAAAACTGTTTGGCTGTAAACAATTGTTATATTGATTTGATAGATTAGATTGATTAATAAATCTGGAAAATCCGATTTAAGCAGTACAACATGTATTCAAAATACATGTTGGGTTTTACGTCGCACCAACACTGTTAAGGTCATATTACGACATTCAAGCTTTACTGTTAGACACAGGTCTCAGGCGACCCTCTATGAATTTCAGGCACGAACGCATACCCGGGCAGAACAATCAACGTTCTATAGGCTAACCGGATAGCTTCTTCGCAAGAATCCATAGTATCTCGTGATATCGGAACCCACAAGGTTATGGGCAAGTGGTTTAAAGTCACCGACCTTCACTACTCAGCCACAGACGTTTTTTCTTCACCTTGAAATATCTTTATTATAAATAGACGAATGTAAAATAACGAAAAATATATTTCATTTTCAAAACCTACAGAAAATAATTGACAAATTGTGTCAAAATTAGATCTATATCAAAGTTATTTTACCTCGGGTATTAGTAAAAATGATAACATATATCGTCTCAGTATATAAATCTGAATACATATATACATTGAATGTAAAGTAAATTAAACCTTTTTGCTTGGTATCGATATTCATTTATATGTCATTTATAATTTATTATGCTTTATAAAAGTTTTACCATTAATGAACTTGGAAGTATTAAATGCTGTTTATTGCTTATGTTATGTAAGAACGACCAAACGACCAAAATCTATGACATGGAATTACCCTGTTATTTATAGATATACATTTTTCCTTTTGGTATTCCCCTCCGCCTATTTAAATAAACGTTAAATCATAATTACTTCCCTTGTTGTAATAAATTATATTTATAGAAATATGTATATTACATGTTTGATATTTTGATTAATATTAAATAATTGATTGCATGTGAAGTCTTTTTCCCCCATATTTTTATATATATATGATATATATTTTATTTTATATATGAGCCGCGTCATGACAAAACCAACATAATGGGTTTGCGCAGTCTGATCAGGATCCATGCTGTTCGCTTACAAACCCTATTACAAGTAGAGAAACTGATAGCGAACAGCATGGATCCTGATCAGACTGCGCGGATGCGCAGGCTGGTCTGGATCCATGCTGGTTGCAAACCCATTATGTTGGTTTTGTCATGACACGGCTCATATGTATTTATGTTATGTTTGAAATGACTTTATTTCAATTGAAGGTATAGTCGGTGTACTAGTTATTGACCTGGCTACGCGCCAACTAAAATTATAGTAAAACTAAGGTAAACTAAAACCTCGATCTTTGTTTGATAGCGATGATTATAAATGCAATCATATATTTAATTGAATACGTATTACCATAATAAAGGAAAATGGAAATATATCATGTTGTTTATTTCTATGTCAAGACAAAGTTTACTTTAAGAGCTACTCAATTATTCGATATATCAACATGGAATTTCCGTGTCTTATTTATAGATCTAAATTTCAAGCTTTTTCCGCCGGGAATTCCCCTCTGCCCATTTAATTATAAGAAATCCTTCACCATTGACACTTTTCTGTTTAGATTTCTGTGTACGACCGGAATTTTACAGGAAGTCGGTTTTTGCGACATTAAGACGAATGTAAGTAAAAAATAAAATACTATTTCTCTATTGATTTATTGGTCTTTCTTGCTATATGTGTTATTTGTTTTGCTATTTTGTTCTCTTTAGGCAGCAAACGAGAAAATAGCGTTTGTTTTTATTTTATTTTTCAGTTATCACAATTATGGCCCTGAATCTTGTAAAAATAGGTGTCACTGCTGGTTTCGGTAAGTTTAATTCATTTACAAGTATATGGTATAATAATGTATAGTAAAAGTAACCATTACTATTCATATCTATTGGTATCTTTCTTTTATATTTATATTGGTTTACTCACACCGAAAAAAGCAACATTTTAAAAGCGGTGTGTGTTTTTCCGTTCTCATTTGTGTCGCACATAGCTCAAAAAGCATTTGGCCTAGAGTCATGAAACTTTACAGGAATGTTGCTCAGCATGTGTAGCTGTGCACCTTGGTATTTTTGTGTGGATGTTTTAAGTATTTCTTGAGTTATTGCCCTTGAAGTAGTAAAAATTTGCAATTTTCAACTTGTGGATTTATTGTGTTTTATCAGAGTATTTGCCCCTGACTTAGTAAAAATTTGCAATTTTTAACTTGTGTTGCACGTACCTCAAAAAGTATTTGACCAAGAGTCATGAAAATTTACAGAAATGTTGCACAGCATGTGAAGTTGTGCACCTAGGGTTTCACTTGTGGATTTTCTGTTTTGTAAGAGTTATTGCCCTAGATTTAGTGAAAATTTGCAATTTTCAATTTTTGTGGTGCATAGCTCAAAAAGTATTTAACCTAGAGTCATGAAACTTAACAGGAATGTTGGTTAGCTTGTGTAGTTGTGCACATGGGGTTTGGCTTGTGGATTTATCCAGTATTTCTAGAGTTACTGTACTTGACTTTGTAAAAATTATTATTTTTCAAATTGTGGCACATTTAGCCCAAAAATTATTTCACCTAGAGTCATAAGATTGAAAACCAGTGGAGAGTGGGGGCACCCGTGTCCTATGGACACATTTCTAGTTTCTATTAAAAAAACATTGTAGTTCTGCCCTGTGTTTTGAATTAATCAAGAATAACAAACTAATATAATCAATAAGATATATAAAAAAAGACTCGTATTACAAATAATACATCATTGTGTCATAGACCTAAATTAAAGATCTAAATGCTGATATTTTTAAAACGTCACAAAAGAATTTTTGCAATGATACCTCGAAGAAAAACTGTGAATTCATTCTTTAATCACATGGATATTTCCATTTAAGTGTTGGCAACTGGTGGATATTCATTGTGGCGTTACAGAAGACAAATTGAAAAACTGTTAACGGACTTCATAGAGTGGGTGAACGTGAAAATAACACATGTGGCAAACTACGCTAAGGAAATGTTAAGAGGTCTTGCAGTAGCGACAAAAAATATTGTACACACGGCCACAGAATCATTAAGAAGACGGTGGAATTCAATGAGGTAAGCATCGTGATTTTTTAATACGGGTCTAAAATAATTATATCTACTCTGCCTTCTGTTTTAAACCAAAAAAGATAAGGATATGATATTTTTCTTAAAAAGAAGAATGAATAGTCTTTCATAATTATAATCATTATCATAATTATCTTCTCCCTTGTTTCTTTGTCATTACTTTCATCGATTTAAGCCGATCAATATTAATTTCATTTTCTGAATTAAAGTCCAGAATCAAGAGGTATGGTGACTGAAGCGACAAACAAGGTAATACAAGCTGGAATCAGTGCTGCACTTGATGTTGCTGAGGAGAATATTCGACAGCTATTTCCAGAAAATTCACTAGAGAGAAAAGTTTTTAATGACGTTAAGTCCGGGCTTCAACGATTACAAAATGATATCAATGGGTCAGTTACAAGATGCTTAATTTAACAGACAGAACTCTTAAATATAATTTATAAAGCTTTGATTTTTGAAGAAATTGTAATCAAATGTAATCCATATTCTGACTATATCTCGAAATTATTTATTTCTCTGGAATAAAATAGTTAAATAAATTAAGCTATATTTCTGGAAGAGTTTTTTATTTGTTTATTGCTCAATGTTATTTCATATATTTAATAGTAGGATCAATGGCATATGATACTAACAGTGTTGAAAATCAAAGTTGAAAAAAAATCTCAGAAAAGTCGAAGTGTTAAAAGATAACTCAGAGAGATTTTGTCATTACATCACTTAAATTGTCAGAGTTATTGTATATGAATACTAGTAACTTAGAAAATCGATGTGTTTTACTGAAATGAAAACCAAAATCAAAGATGCAAAAAGGAACTTTAAGGCTGCACGCCTCAAGTTAAGCCACAGCATTTCAAGAAAATCAAACTTGAGAAAATTGTACTAAGACTTTAAAAAAGTGAGAAAGATTCAAGATTCAAGATTGTACTTTAAAATTCATTTTCTATGTTTTCATGAAAATAAGCATGAATCTGGAAGCACGCTGCTTTAAGCTCCTCATAAGAAGTTGTAATCTAGGTAAACTGATAATTCTTTTATGAACTGGACTATTAACAGTCCAATACAATTAAAACACGTTACATTCTCGATAAACAACATTTCTCGTTGAATGTAGAATAATAGAGGTGATGACTATCATTATAATTCTGTAATCTGTAACTTTTATTCCAAGTTAACTATGCTTCTTGGTTCATTATTTTCCCGGACATAATCAAACGTAGATGCTCCTGTAGCTGCTCCTGTAAAAGACACAAATTATCTCAAACATTAGGACACTACAAGTCTTTAGACTTCTGACAAATCATTCAAATCTTTATTATTAAAATTCATTATTCGACTTTAAGCTAACCTGAGTCCATGCCAATGTCTTTTTGGTATATAATTTTACAAAACAATGGTATCTAATTAAAAAAAAAAGCAATTTCTGGTTAAACTTCAGGAGCAAAAGGTTGATGTTCTGATTGACCAAAACCAACTGGATTATTGTGACCCCTTTTGCATCCCATTTATCGCAGTGCTTATAAAAGTCATGAAAAAGAAAATTGTTGAAAGGTCGTAAACCGAATGTATAATTTCTATATTTTCTATAGTGTTTTGTTTGATAGTTACGACAAAAGAAAATATTCCAGTTTTGTATTAATATTCAATAACGACTTTTACAAATGGAAACTTTATCAAATGTACGTGAAATAAATCAGATGGTTTCTTACCGAACACAAGGTAGATAAGCAAAGGCAGAAGTAACAAGCCTAATACGAGAAGAATAACGTTCAAAAGCTGAACATGCTTCGACAGAACACCTGTAAAGAAAGGAACACAAATTTTTCGGTCATTTTATTAAAAATGAAAATGATAAACTAAATGGACACAGAAATGAATATACAAAAGATAAGAAATATTACAATTCCATAATTCTGAAAAATGAATAAAACTAGGAGAGTAAACTGTAGAATATTTACAAAAGGTCTACATGTTTCAAGAAAAACAGCTTTAAATGATAGGGAATGGTCAATGCTTGTAAAGTCACGTTTGCTGAAACAACGGTTTCTTCAGATATCATTACTGAAACTAATTTCTTTAACATATAATAACAAAGGAAATATTGTTTTAAACTACTTAACCATTTCTTGATACTCACTTTGAATGGCCACACCAAACAAACCGGCAGTACCTGCTCCTGCAAAACTGCCGAATATTGGTCCATAAATAAACATCATTGCTTGCATGACAAGTATCCCTGCAAATGTACCACCAATGATACCAACAACGGTACCAACGACGTGAGCAGCGTCGTTTTCATTTGTATCTGAAAAACAATTATAATTGTAACTAACCTGACTACTCGGAATATTTGACTTTATTATCAACTTTGATAACTACAAGTGGAACTGCGTCTGCGGGTAACAAATTAATAGATATACTTTGTAGCATTATATGATATACACTTAATAGTAATTAAAGAAACACTGTGTTATGGTAATTAGCATTACCTTTCTTTTTCTCAATGTCGCGGGACAATGAGTTTGTTGCTCTCCTCCGTGGCATATTTCCTCTTTGTTTGTCTTGTAAATTCTCAGATACTGGTTTTTCTGGAGATTTATGAGTTGCCTTGGGTTTAGCATTTCTCGTTGATTTGTTTTTACGCGCCATTTTTCAGAAGTACTCAAGATGAAACAATTTCTGTATCTAAAACAGAAAAGTTTTATAAAAATAGATTATTACAAAATAATAGATAATCACTTTGTTGAAACATTGTTGATGTTAAGGACGAGTACCATTTTATATTTACATGTCCATTGTTTTGTTTTGTTTTCTGTTGTTGTTGCTGTTTTGTTTTTGTTATGAAATTATAAACAATATTAAGGGAACTCCACTGAAGTTAAATAGATTGAAAATATAATATTTAAAATTCTTAATAGGACAAGTGAAACACTTAAAATGAAAAAAAAATCTGCAAAGGACAGTTATCAAATAAATTCAGACTTAAATTGAATATCGATGTTTTGGGTTTCTTATCCCGGTGTGAGCGTAAGACGTTGCGACGCTTATAATTTTTGGTCAGTTTGCAATATGAATATGGTTATTCTGAAAAACAAAACAAAAGAATCCTTAAATTTGTACACAATTTACTGGTCAAGGCCTGCATCAAATTCTCAAAAAATATTTCCAGTCCCGGCATGTCAAATAACCGCAGTAGAGTCCTTTTAAAATACTTTTATAAAGTTTAAACGTATTGAACTGATATCAAGTGGTAACCTACACTATTTAAGCTCTGAAAATATGTTATGGCTTTATTAAATAAAAGAATTTCTACTGTTTATGCTATCAATTCGATTTGTGTTCTTCAAATATATTTTTCAGTTAGTCAAATTTGATATATTTTTTACTACTTTCGTAACTGTTTATCGTCAGTCTTTTAAGTACCGATAACGTGATGCGTTCTTACTTTTCCACGTGGCATTTTATTTGAATATCTAATACTCATGCATTTAAACAGTTTGTAGAAAATGTATTGAACATTTTTTTATGTTCCATGATATTCTATATGATAATGTACTGTATACAAACCAATAAAATCATGTTTTTATTTTAAAATAAATGCAACTAACATTATTTCAATAAGACAAAACTAAAGATTAAGTTTGTGTTTTAAGCATCGTCTTTATGCTGCCCTCTGCTACCATTTGGAGTCCCCATATATATGAATCATGATCAATAATATATTATTAAATGACCTATTAAGTAAGCAGACAGCAAGGTTTAACATAGTCAAACAAAAATATATTTGTAGATTTAACGTCTTATTTTCTATAAGGAAACCAAAAAACATGTATATGTATTACGTAGACATAAAAATAGATACTTTATTTTTAGAATCAATCAATCTTATCTCATTATATTTGCAGTTAAAGATACAAATTTTACACATTTTTATCTTTTTTAACATTAAAAATGCTTTACAATTATTTGTTTCTACAGAAAATACAGCTAAATCGTTGAGCCTTTATTTAGCCACCAATTTCTGCATGTTTGTAACGGCGATGCTCATTGGATTACCATGTCGCCTGTAATACCATAAATGGTTGATAAAAATCATTAATTAATTTCTAGCATATGAACAGTATCATAAAATGGTATATGAACGGTGCTTTGCTGAATGACCAATCACAATACAGCCGGAGATCTCCCCTTCACCAGATTTTAAATGTATGAACAGACGAATATAATCTGTCAAAATATTTTGGTTTATATTACACCCGAAACATTCTATTGTATTAACTTTAAATTTGTTAACTACTTAAATGACTCTTAAAAATATACTAATTCACGTTTGATTTGATATGAAAATATTTTAAATAATTTACCTATACTCAAGCAAAAATCAGTCTTCAAGCTTCCAAACGAAATTTAACAAGGCAAGTGGCTTGAGTTCTTACTGTTTTCTGTTTTATGATATGATCTAAAGTTATGTATTACTTAACGTGTATTTATTACTTATTTTTTCATCTAAAAATAAAGCCAATTCATTTATTTATCTACATACCTAGGATAACCTGTATTATTGGACAAAAGTCAATTTTTATGCTGTATTGAACAGATAACAGTTATATGTGTCATTAAGTGTGTGTTGTATATAAAACAATAAAAAAGAAACTGTAGAGTAGTTATTTGCAATAGTAGCGAAATATAGATTTAAAACATAGATAAAAGCCTAAACAGGTCGGCAAGGACATATCTTGGTGCAACAAATGATCACAAGCGATAAGGTGTTGCTTACTAAGTCGCTTATTAAACAACAAACTTTGTTCGAAATAAATTAGAATAGAATTGCATATATGAACAACACCAGTCTGGTTGATGTTTAAAAGCCATTGACACAGTACAATATAATACAATATGATACAATGACAGACATTGATAAATTCATTGTAAATGTTGGTATTAACCAATGGTAATAATTCTCTACTTATAGTTTATTATAAAAGGGAAATAACCATAGTATTTATTGTGTAACGATTATCAAGATTTGTTTACCTTTAGTTTTTTTGCATTACAAAACCAAATTGATTTTCTTAAGGGATTGAATAATAATAATAATGATAAAAGAAAGAAACAAAGTGAACATGATACATTAAAATGGTAACATTTGAAAATAGGAAAATGATTCTATTAGTGTTAATCATGTATGATGAGAACATATGAAAATTCTTATAGGATTTTAACAAAGGAACTTTATTAATATAATTTTGAGTCTGACGATATATATTTATTTATCACTCGCCGAAATTTATCGTGAATTATTTTCGAATTTCGAAGGCTTTATAGATAAACATTGCTAAACTACGTATGATTGGTACTGAATAAGAGTAATTCATTACTGCGGTTATATACATATTGGGGTTATTACGGGGATCGTTCAAATATGAATGCATTGTTCAATATTGCCAAAGACACAAGTTAACGAATGTTATTGGGCAGATACATATTTTACCTTAAGTGATACCACCGTTAACTTTAGGTGTGTTTATAGCTCGCTAAACATTGTCTACTCGTATTCTGTAATACAATATGGCGGGAAGAAGTTCAGAGTATGCCATTGAAATACGGTCTAATATGTAAAATCTTAAAGCTGCACGCCTCCAGATGAGCCAAAATATTTATAGGAAATAAATAATGAGAAAAATGTACTAAAATTTTAAGAAAGGTAAAAACATTCAAGATCCTAGTTATATTTTACATGTTGTGGGCGGTTTAAGACTGATTTTGCAGTATTTTATCATCATATTTCTACTGCGTTACTAACGCAGTAAGGGCTGTTTTTGCATATGTTGACCACTTTTTGGAAATTTTCTGTGACTGTAGGTGTCGATTGCAATATGCAAATTACTATTTTTGTTCACCTTACACTATTTTACTTTCAAATACATTTCTAAAATTTTCATGAAAATCAACATGAATCTGGAGGCGTGCTGCTTTAAAGGCAAATATGTTAATGTAAAATTTAACAAGACAAATGTTGTAAGGAAACAAAACAAATGTTTTCGAAAACGAAGACACGCAACATATTTGGCCAATGTCAGATTGCTGTATCACAACGCGTCATCGGGCAAGGCGCCTAAAATGCAAACCTACGGTACAAACTTCATGCAGGGAAAAGTCGTTGTGCAGCCCTATCCTCCCTATTTATCTGCCTTGTTTCTTGTTACTTTTTTCTGTTCCCAAAGCTAAGACCTTTAAGGTCGAAAATCTGTTCCGCGCAAACACCTCGGTTCTGCAATAATTAAACTTCTTTGAAGATTGGATCCAGATAGTAAACTTTTATATCTGTTGGAGGTGAATTCTTTGAGAAAACAAAATAAAAAATCAGTTAAATCTGTAAGATGCATTCACATTTTAACACTTCTCGTACAAAACATTGATTGATATATGAGCCGCGTCACGACAAAACCAAAATAGTGCGTTTGCGACCAGCATGGATCCAGTCCAGCCTGCGCATCCGCGCAGTCTGATCAGGATCCATGCTGTTCGCTATCAGTTTCTGTACTTGCAATAGGGTTTGTAAGCGAACAGCATGGATCCTGATCAGACTGCGCCGATGCGCAGGCTGGTCTGGATCCATGCTGGTTGCAAACCCATTATGTTGGTTTTGTCATGAAACGGCTCATATCGTTTTCGACATTCCGGGCTCCAGCTCTTATTCAAATTAAGATCCGATGTGCCCTTCAAAATATCTAAACCAGTAAATGGTTAATCTAATTCAGAACACATGTCATTTAAATCTTGAAAATCTTTCTCGTTAAAATATATAAGTTCATCATCATCTTGAACAAATGAGTCTTAAGAATTATTCCTTGTATCAAGATAATTCATAAAAGTGTCAAGAGATATATTTTCGGTCCCTTTGGTGCAACTGGTTTTTCAAGCATTCGCCAATCAAGTCTCTCAGTTTTACATTTCAGTTATATACTTATGACAAAGGTAAATGTAATTATAGGTTCACGCAGCAAGGGTGTTAAAATAGTTTAAGTATTTTTTTTTCTTCAAATGTTTGACTACATGAAATGAATGTTTGCTTTAGGCAGTTACGGGGGTTCTCATCAATAGACACTCTTGTTAATGAGGCTTCACAATAATAAACTGCCTATTTTCATCATTCATAGTCGTTTTGTTCCAGAATAGTCAGTTTTATTGTGTAAAATGACTCAAAACGCATTACTAAACGATTTTACTAAAATCTGACAAAAAGTCGCACAAGTCGATATTCAATTTTTTTCCAGAGACAAGGATAGGCTACTTCCTAGCTAGTTAAAATATCACACGTGCTTGCTAAAACTAAAACTTATAGCAAGTAAAACTTATTAACCAGGTATCAAAACCAGTAAAATAATACATTTTTTTATGCATTTGTATATGGCTGCAGGTAAATGATACATCAATTTTTGCAGAGAACTACTCATTGATTTTTGTCACAAAACTATTCATATGATAAATCAAAGCACAGAAGGCGCTGAATTTGTTTGGGTCTCAGAATGTAAGAAAGGTGCAGGTTGTGAGATTATATGTATAGTGCCACCTATTCATTTACAGCGTTTTAATTGTAGTAAATTGGCTATAAGACTAATTGCAACACTGATATTCAATCCAATGTTTATTTGACTTTAACAATTTGAAAAAAAATGAGTTACCTTTACTGGGATTTGAACTCCAGACCTCTCGCTTCCTAAGCGAGCCCGAAAACCCTTCAGCCACGGTGAATTTATATGTGAACGGGCTGAAGAAAACCATATTATTCTAAATTAGGGCTTGTAACGACTTTAACTGTTGTTTAACACAGATGTAAATAATCCTGGAGCTTACTATAAGCATTTATATTTATAAAGAATCAAAGGGCTGCAAGTTCTGTGGTATTTTCTGATCTTTGCAATCTAAATCGTACTGTATATCTGTATGCATTTTCCTGTATAGGTTTATTTTTATGTATTATAATTCATGCAAGGCACCAGAGTTTGATACATACGGAATTCTGCATAACTAGAGTTGCATCAAAAAATCATTTATGTTCATTTTTTACGACAGCCACATTTTATCCTTGCATATCATGGCTACTTCCTTAACAAAAACACTTAAAAAAGAATTTAACAAAAAAAAAAAGTTCCTCGACTGGGATTCCAACTCGAGACCTCTCACTCACTAAGCGAGCGCGTTACCACTGTACCACGGAGAAGTTATACACAGAAACTCTGAATAATATCAAGTCATTCTAAATTTAGAACTTCCATTGCATTTCGGGTTTGTAATCCTTATTAATTTCGAGTATTTTGTTCAGGGTAAACCTGTTGTTTAAAATTGAAGTAAAATTTTAGCGAAAATCCTCTCGCCCAAACAGTCCGACATGTAGAATCTATATATTCCACTACTCGGTTTGTGTAGTATTCGGTAATAAATAGTATTTTTCATTGATAAAATCATATTCATCCGCGTAATTTGTGATTGTGCATTTATTGACAATTCTATAAGCCAACGCTATTGTTTAACTTTAAATGCGTTGTAATTTGTTGGATATTGTAACAAATAAAATATTTTCTTTCTTTTAAATCGCTAGTTTTAAGCTGTTTTGAGAACTACTTGTTGTTAGGTTTGTCGTAAACTTCTGTGTCAGAGATTGAATGTCCGCTTTGTATTTAGTTATTTTTCGATCAGAAAATACAATAAAACAATATTAGAAATATTCGACCATTCGGGAATTACTTTGCTTGAAAATTGATGCGCCTGTCTTTGACCATCTTTACGCAGTGATCTCCCCTGAATTTTTCGGCTTTAGTGTACATACAAAAGGGAAGTAACCGCTTCAAAAAAGTGGACTACTTTCGGCATTTGCAATTAACAACATTAGACTCTGAAATTTCGCTACCATTATTTGTTTGGTCTGACGACCCAAACAAATAAAAACTGGCTCAGTGGGTATGTTCTGCTATGTTTTTCTAAGTGAAATGCATGGAAAGTAGCCAATATTTTGGTATACAGCAATAGATAAAAGATTTAACTTTCAAATGGTGTAAAATATAGAAGAGCATTAAGTTTAATTTGCTACAAAATGCCTATTTTTCACTTTTGATAGGCATGAGTGATGTTTCATTTGTGTATCTCTGGTTATCTCTGTTATATAAGTCTCTGGTATTTTTGAACATATTTCTTTATGCAGAATTTTAATATTTTTTTCTTTTTTATGTTTTCAGGCTATCGGACTCTTTGGAGCTCCTTTAATATGAACTTAAAAAATAGGGAATGAACATTTGCAGATGCATAAGACCTAATCCCGCATGACTGTATATGATTTTTATTTGCATTGCTTTGACATGCCGTCTGTTTCGGTCGGCTGTCTGACTTGTACACTGCCACATGAAATATACATCATTTATTGTGAATGTCACTCTTGTGAAAATTTTTACTTTTATGTACATTCTTAAAGATTCAATTCATAATAAGTAATAGTTATAATATATGAAACGAGTTTGTTACGAGGATATATCACTGGCTGGGGCGACATCAAGGGTTATTTCTGCTAAAAAATAGCGAGTGACAATATTTTACGCAAACATCCCGAGATGACGAGTTTCATATACTATAACTGTTATATCGCAATGTCATATTTTTTCCTTTTGATTATTTTTTTTTGGAAAAGGGAAATAAAGAAATAAATTAATTTATTTATAAATAAATAAATTGTGAGCTCCCTTACAGCTATTTAATGATGATAAGGCAGTTGTTTCATGTTGTTTTCGCTGCCCCCCCCCCCCCTCCAAAAAAAAAAAAAGATACAACCCTTGAAAACTTTAAGACCACTAATGTTAAAACCGGATTGTAAACTGTTACCTTGTAGAGAAAGTAATGCTGATTAAAGATTTAAGGACTTTTTACAGCGGAAATAATTCATTCAGCGGAAGTATATTTTGATTATATGAGAGTAAATTTCATTTCATTAATTATCTTTGTTTATTATATATTTCATTATATTTATTTATTTATTTTTATTTTATTTTATAATATTTATTTTTGCTACTGGGAATGATCGTTACACCTGCCCCATTGGAGCCTCTGTGAAAAACTACACTGATATATACAAGGTGCGAAAAAAACTCAACTGTCATATATTAGTTGTGTTTTTTTCCTATATGAATCAATGGAAAAAAACTACAGTGCTATATATCAATGCAGTTTTCAAATGCTCATTGAAAGGGTACTGAGTATAATGAGTAAGAACAAAGAAAACGTTCGAAACCATGCGATAATGATAGAAAATACATAATTTGAAAAATATATTATTGGGTCCAATCTGATCATTATAAAAAAGCTTTTTGTCTGTCTAAATATTCATCCATTAACTTAACTTTAATAATTGTATTCTACCTTGTCCGAGTCACAAAGAAGAAAGAATACTCAAAATAACAATGTTATGTACTGGTTTGACGTACATGTAATTCAATAATTAACAATAACTTAGCAGCATCACTTTATAAGCGTAATATGTAACTTGTTCATGATGCATTTTACATTTAAAACCCGATTGTTAAATAGCAAATATTTTTGTATAAATATATTTTGCACAGTTTTTCTCATGTATCAATCATGACTCATTATTGATCTGGGGATTTTAAGAAGAAAGTCAAATTGGGGGATTTATAATTTAACATCATCGTAAGTGACATGATTATCAATATTGTGAAATAGCCAACTTGTTTTATTTTGCAAAGATAAGATCTTAAGAACTCTTAATATTCAGTGTGTTTAACACACCATTTAAAATGATTGATATTGATTCATTGATATTAAAGGGTAGTTCAGAGTACAGTACTGACAAACGGTAAATTTACTACTGATTTTATGAAGGTGACATCTGTCTTAAAAATAATGTTAACATCAAGTTTCTTAAAAAATATGTGAACATTAAGTTTGAGAGTTTTATTAAAATACTGATTTGAGCCGCGTCACGACAAAACCAACACAGTTGGTTTGCGACCAGCATGGATCCAGACCAGCCTGCGCATCCGCGCAGTCTGATCAGGATCCATGCTGTTCGCTTACAAACTCTATGACAAGTAGAGAATCTGATAGCGAACACCATGGATCCAGATCGGACTGTGCGGATGCGCAGGCTGGTCTGGATCCATGCTGGTCGCAAACCCACTATGTTGGTTTTGTCATGACACGGCTCATTTATTCGTTATATTTTCTCATTCATACAAATTTTTTGTTCAGAACATAAAGAATTATACTGATAAGTGCAGTAGCGTTGTTATGTAATGTACAATAGAGAACGTGTTTTCCACCAAAAAAAAGGTCTTCGAGTGATATGGAAAAGCATTTAAAAAGTATTATTCTGCTATGTTAAATTAAATATATCGTTTTCAATTAGTACTTTACGTGCTTTTATCTGTAATAAACAAGAGAAAACAAATAAGAAAACACTAACAAAAACACCTTGTTTAATACCATGTATTAAATTCTGAGATATGCCAAAGAAAAATGTTAGCAGAAAAAATACAATTGGCATAAACCTCCAAAATTGTGCAGAAAGGATTTCTAGTTTTTTCTTTCTAAATGATATATAATAATCTAATATTTCAAACATTTTTTATGACAATGACAAAGGAAAATAGCTTTGAATCTATGCAAAAGAAATTGCATTTCACCAATTGTCCTCATCATAATTATGCAGTTTCAATTTGTTACCTTCAATACATTTAAAGTCCTGCCCATAAGAAGCGCCAAGACGGACGGACGACAAAATAGACGGGCAAAGCTGATTTATCCTCTTAAAACTTAATTGTTGGGGATGGTAAAATTAATGATATTTAAAGAAAAGTTATATACTTTCTACGACTATTATGAACATAGAAAATGCTACAATAAACAAATGAGTATAAGATTTTAAAATTTATGAGAAAATCGGTTTAAAATAGATGAAGCTATATATTTAATGTAACGTTCATTGCTTAATATTTGCAAATGTTATGAAAGAGGTAAAGAATGTCCCGGATTTCACAACATTAGTAACCATTTATGATTGGATATTAAACGTTTCTCTTCATTAAATTCAGACATTGAAAATGTGCAGTTGTACTTTTTCATTTGTTAAAATACTCAAACGCAAAAGAACAAAAAACATTACGTTTATTTTTGGCAAGGTTATGTTGATAATTTTCATTGGGTAGTTTGCTGTTCAAGGTATTCATAAATTATATTTCGGATATTTAAGATGATTTGATTTCGCCGAAATTATGATGAATCTTCACATTCCATCACGTTCACACATACTTCCTTGAAAAAAAACAGTTATCCTATAATCAAATATGTAATTAAGACAAAAAAATAGCTTTAAACTGCCATTTAACATTGATGTAGGTAGACCTTTTTCAGTTAGTCTTGTAACAACAGAAATCGAAACTAATAAAAGTTAACAATAATTGAAATAATATGAACATTTATTAAACAAAAATCATAGGTAGGTTTATACATTCTAATAAGATTTATTTTTTTATCTCTCTGCAAATAATCTTAAGAAGGACTAAATCCACTTAACGCGTGAATTGCACTTTTACGCGCAGAACAAACTTAAACATAAATTGCTAACACTTGATTTTTTAAAAAAATTCTAAAATGTATGTTATAATGAATTCCTTCCTTGTTCAACCTGAAGTGCACTCCCCATTAAATGCACTGATCCTGTGTAGTGGCTGCGTTGGATGACAGTTTTATGTATAGATGTGTACGACTGCATTAATACACTTGTTACTATATATAGTAACAAAATTGCCTATGATTTCAACTTATTATGAGTGTCACGTGACCTATTATGAGTTTGCGGCCCGGGGCCGAGAACTAGTTATCAGCCCGCAGAACATGTGCACGTGCACAAACTGAAGCAATGACGTCATATTTAACGTCATCAAACAGTTATCTGTTAAAGTGAAAGTAGGTTGTCAGCACGAATCGCTTTATTTTTATTATGAGAGCTTAAGCGTATTTAGTACAAACACATTTTTGTTACTATTGTTACTATAATTTGAAGAAATAATACGACAAATTCATTCCGAAAAAAATGAAAATAAGACTTACTTCTAGATTCTACTGCTTTGAACACACAACAGTAAACATCTCTGTACAGAACAGAAGTGTACAAGAATTTCAACGAAAGAACTTCAAAGTAGTTGTTGTTTTTTGTTTTTTAATGCTACTATTAGATCAAGTGTATTAAAGACATTAATACACGTCAGAGAAGGACCGGAATGTGATAATCGGCCCTGAAATGAATAATGCCCTCGGGGCCATTATTCATTTTGCGGGCCGATAATCACCTTCCGGCCCTACTCTGCCGTGTATTAATCTCTTAATCTTCCTTGTTTGTCATCACTCTCGTATTGTATCATGATTATATTGTAATGTTTCAACCAATATTAAATTATCTATAACAAACACCTTTATATTCTGCAACGTTACCTTTAATTTGGCAATGTACGACGTATGCGCCTTGTACCCCATGATTTGTTTTGTTATAATTCTTTACTGATTTATAAATCCCGCAAAATAAATTCTGGTCTGAAAAAGTTGAAACATACTTAGTTCAATACTAGTATATGTGTAAATAGTTGTATTTTTGTTACCAAAATAAAATTCGCTTTATCAACGCAGAAGGCAGAGCAAGTATTTTGCAATTTCCTGATTTTTTGTAAGAAGGGTATTATTTATATATTAGTTTTAACCCGAAAAATGTTCAAGATGGACTTCAAAGAACATATAAAACTGGTAGCCCTTTTACTATTGAAAGATATAACGCAAAAAAGCTATTGCAAAATATTTGAAATACTCTCAACAGATCGTGTTGATGATATAAATGTTACATTTTGATTGGCTATTGTTTAAAACTTAAAATCCCCGAGCCATACCCGACAGACTTTGGGCAGGTATTTAAGCCAACAGTCCGAGAGTCTCCTTCAATAAGCTCAGTGATCAACAAACGAGCAAAGTTAGATATTGTTCTCTGATAGTTTACTGATGAAACCAGCTTTAGGAATGGAAACTGGAAAGACTGATATTGGCACGGTGATTGGAACGAATGCGCATGAAAAGGTATTTAAGTTACTTTTTTTATATATATTTATCAATATATTTTGCTGTGCAAATTCATCATTTATTTTCATGAGAGTTGCAAAATAAATGTGGCACAAATATAAATTTAAGTGCTGGATTGATACTTATTAATTTGTAATGAATAAGATCGCAAAATTCAGCTCATCGCCAGTGGACATACAAATCAATTCTGAAAATTATGAACATATGGACCATATGTTCATTTACAATTTACGAATTGACAATATGTTTGTTATTTTTCTTTTCATTTAATTTAATCTTATTAATAATAACAACTGTTTAGTTATTATGTCAGACTATGTTAGACTTAAAAACGTCTGGATGTATTAGTACTATTTGTAGTGTGCCTTGTAATAAAAACGTTACATTAAATGTGTTGTTCCAAGTTAAGGAAAGATATCACTACACCAGTTTCTTTTTTTTCTCGTTAAATAAGTGCTCTGAATTTTCGCGAAATAATCTAGTTTCTTTAAATACAGAACATGGCAAAAAAGGTCCAGACCTAAGAAATGAATAAATATTTAACCTTACAATGGTTGTCCGATGACATTTTAGACAGGAATATGGGTATATATTTCATTTTGTGTTTCCTTGGAAATGGCAACACATAACCTTAATTGCATTATTAAGACGCAAATATATTTACTTAATTGTATCAAATTATGTCATATGTATTGTTTCAAGGTTCAAAATGAAGCATCAAAGGGATTTTCAAATAAAAGAATAATAGTTGGAGTGGTAACTGGTGTCGTTGCCGTGGCAGCTGTTGCAACTATTATCCTTGTGTCTGTTTATTTTGGATCGGAAATAACAACAGAATCGTTCAAGGTAGGCCCTTTTTTATTTTGTTTTATTTTTCATATTTAATTGCAAAGTCCATTGTTTACTAATTGCTGTTAATGTTTTAAGGTTGTTATTTTATGTGATTTTGAAATGTCATAATATTCTGGACATATTTGTCAGTAATCCTTACTGAAATACATTTAGTACTAGACCACCTGATCGAATTTGATTAAAACCATTCTTCTCAATTTTGTATAAGTATAATTTCTCTGTTGCATTTTTTTTAATTTTCAAAAAAGGATCTGAGTTCATAAATTATTACTTTGAAATTCATATTTTATTCCATATAACATAGACTGTACGGCAAACATTCAAATCCGACAAAGGGGAAGTAATTGAAGAGGAAACTAATGTAACCAAAACAGAGGTTGACGTGCGGATTCCTAATGTGGCTGGGGTCATCTATGATTACAAAAATGTAAGTTGACCATGTAGATGAACTGAATATAAACCAGAATGTAATTTATCTATAGATGACCCTCCTCTTCAAACACGTTATATAAAATGTCCTTTATGATTATTTTAGCTGATATGTTGGAGAGTAGGTATAAACAATCCTCTACTTACTTACTTGCTGTTGATTAAATGGTCAGTTACATGTATGTGATTTAAATCATGTATTCATTGTTATAATATCATATTGTACCGTCGTATACAAGTAGGGACAAAATGTTGTTTATGTAATTATTTCAGGGCATAGTTGTGACACGGTTTGTTGATAGAGAGAGCAATACACAAAGCGAATGTATTGCACAGCATATTAATGAGACCGAAGCTCCAAGTCGAGACCCTAACGATTATTCAAGTGGAGAGGTATACTACTATATTAATCTATATACATAAAAACTGGCTGTTAAACGTGATTCCTTTATATTTCCTGGACAAAAATCATTGGTTATCGAATTCCCAGGACATTATTAAAAATTTTTGATTAAATATTTGAAATCGAATTCATGTGCAAAAACAATCATCTTTGTCAATCTTTATTCAAATATAGAGAAACAAACAGAAATCCTTAAACTAACGGCCGTTTTAACACAAAATTGTTAAATGGTTTGTTGAAGTATAAAATAGTTTCTTTAAAATACAAAATGTAAAAACTGAAAAATTTGTAATTTGAAAAAAGGTAAAAAAAAAGCACATGTGGTTGTTTTATGCACAGGTTGACATCCACCAAAATGAGGATAACGAGGAAAGAGAGGCTGAGAAGCAAGAGTGGGTAAGGACAGATACCGAGGTTCCGCAATATCTGATTTCTGAAAAGGTTGAAAGAATGTGCAGGGGAACAAAAATCTATTGGATGAAAAGTAATTATTGTTAAATTCACTTATGTTTATATGTATCACATTGTTAATTCGATCGAATAAATATATCATATAGATATTCTTCGAGTCATTTTATGTAAACTAATAGTAAAATCATCAGACACTTTTAAGGCAACTACATTCATCAACATAATACCTACGTCTGAAAAGGTTGAAAGAATGTGAAGGGGAACAAAAATCTATTGGATGAAAAGTAATATTTTGTTAAATCACTTTCTAAATTTTTTATATTATGTATTCCATTGTTATTTCAAACAATTTAAACGTTCATATAGACATATTTTCTTCGAGCCATTTAATGTAATTTATAAATAAAAACATAAGGAACTTTTAAGGTACTTATATTCACCAGCGCCATACAAAAGTCTTAAATGATTACTTATTTTGAATCGAGTGTTATGGTAACTTTAAACTTGTGCTTTCAATTGTAGAGGTACAAAGACAGAGCGGTGGTGTGGAGAAACGATATGTATGTCCGTCCTATTACAGATATGTTCGCTGCGTTCCCTACAGATATCCATGCGCTTATCTTTGTTACGTCAGAATCTACTGCAGAACCACGGGAAGGCTCGTCCGATCATATTACGCGTATGGGTGCAAAATATATTGTGTTCCAGGCCGTTTCAATCCAATATGTCCGATAAGGAGAAAATAAACCAATATGTTTTTTTGCTTCTAAAGGTTTATTTTCAAAACAAATTTAAATTACCGTATATTTTCAATGACTTACTTTTTTGAATGTGATTATATACCTATATCTGTAATGAACTTTACTATTCTTTGCCGAATCATTTATAAAGATATGAAACATAGATTTCTTGCAATTTAACATGACAAAAGTCTATAACATATATGTTATGCGATTGAAAATGTACTCGTATTTTATATTAAGAGATTCATTTTGCTGTAGCTTTTACTAACTATTTCTTTCTTCTTCAACGTTTATGTTTAATTATAACTAATCAGAAATAAAAACTTTTTTTCAACGATTTGTGTCTCTGTATTTTGTCCCTATTGATCCTGTTGTTGTGTCTAAACGAGTTATCAACTAAAGACTTTGCTCAACGCCTTGTCATAAATTGTTTGTGTTGATTACACTGCGTTAGGGCCATACATATTTGAATAGATTTCAAACTTGCTAATTACAATAAATATTTGATTTTGGTAACACCAAAAAGAAGCACGTTAAGATATAAGACCTCTCCTACCAAGGCAAAATCTTTCTTGTAAAAGTATTGGTCGGTGATGTGAGAATGTCGATGACAAAGATAAACAATTGAACATCGATTACACCAAAGAAAGTAAAGCTCTTCGTAGACAAATAACTTGCTCGCAAGCCGAACGGAATAAAAATTAACGCTTTCAATAAACCCGAGAATATGTATGAATATTTAGAATAACAACGATAGTCTGATTACTTAAACTAACACATTACTGATGACATTTTAGTGAAATTTGAGTTGCATCATCAGAGAAAGGGCGATAATTAACAGTTGTTTCAAGATACAAAACTCATATTTGTACTGCCAAGATAAGTTTACTTTAATAATTCTGACGTATGGAGATTCCTTTCGTTCAATGGAACAACTTGTTTAGGGGTCTTGTCTATCTTACGATATCTCGTATTATATCATCACAAGGTAATTCTACAAAATACTTGAAAGAGCTTTACAATAATTAAGAAACGAACGAGAAATGATAGTCAAAAATCCATCGTTGACAAGCTAACGTCTTATCTCACTTGTGCGACGTTTCAAATATTTTCCGGCTAAGAATTTTTTCACTTTAGAAAAGGCTTGGTTATAAAAAAAATGCCGAAACTTATTTTCCACGTTTAAGTACATGTATATGCTATTTGGAAAGAAAAATATTCTAGAAGTCCCCTTATCAGTGTCATTTATAGCTTATTGACTTTAGGATTGGCAAGAACTGATATGGAATAGAGAAAAACGGAATCTCAAAAGTATGCCAAAAATTAAAAATATTGACGTCTCTGTTCAAAAACGATACTTGAAATTTCAGTTATATTCCACTTCCTTCTTCTGAATATCTTTCTCGATAAAATCCTCCAGATTTATGCTAATTTTCATGCAAATTTTGAAAATGTATTTAAAAGTGAAATATTGTGAAGTGAACAAAGACAGTAATGTACAACTTGCAAACCACCCTGACAATCCACGTTAACCAAAACGACATCAAAATATACATAAATGCCTCTTACTGCGTTAGTAATGCAGTATAATTAATGAGATTGATACTGCAAAATCGGTCATTAATCGCATATAACATGTAAAGATTGAATTTCTAGAAATATTTTAGCTCATCTGGAGGCGTGCAGCTTTTGAGGTTTGTGATAAATATAATTTTATTAAGACATAGTGTTTAAGAAATTCAAGCGTAATGACACAAGCTTTCTTTTGAAAAAGAAGCATGCGAGAGTTTTTTGTTGCTGTTTTTTTTTGTAGCCGTAGAATATTTGTTATATTGTTCAACACCCGTTCAAATGATATTTTCCGATTTTTAACAACTATTACCGATTTGCTCACCTCGATGTTATTTTTTAAAGTTTAAATAAAGTCATATTTTGAAACTTGGCATGCGTATGACAATTTTTTAGACTGGTTCTTATGATTTTAGGCTTGAAATGATTTAGACTTTTAAATTAGATTCGTTACCTTAAGTTGATACGTAAAAGATGGATGCACCCAGCAATCGTTCTCTGTAGAAAGGTTAATACTGTAGAAAGGTGTAATGACCTCTCCAGTAACTTCATCGTTTTATTGGCCGAATCCGCAAAAGACACTTGCACTTTCAATTACGTGCGTTAGATTTTTATCAACTACACGTTGCACAAATTACATGGTTTAATGCTATAGCAAAGCAAAGCAAAGCAAAACGTAGCAAAGTAAAGGAAATAAGTATTTCAAGTAAATAGTGCGCACAACGGAACACAAGTCCATATTATGGTTAGAATCATTAAGTATAGAAAATTTCATCTGGGTGTTATATTTAAAGTTCATAGTTAACTTTAAGATTGTCGCTCTGTGTGCGAGTCGAGTTGTAAATTTACTTGCAGAAACATAAAATGTATTCAAGAAATGATAAGACATTCAGTATATGCCTGGTGTACATATTTATCGATAACTTTTGAAGACGGCTGCATAAGGGTTGTTCCTGTTTGGTCAAAATCCATGTAATTAAAGAAAAATGTTTTTTTTTATTTTTTATCACAAAAGCTCACTGCTGAGCGATTTGTGTTAAAAATGCATCTATTGAGAATCTAAAATGCTAAATATTTATTTGTGAAGTATGTTATGATGCGCTGTGCAGGAAGGAAGAGAGCAAACACAAAGCAAACTACATAGGGAGTGTCTTAAGAGCTTTATTAAACTGATGCTGTTTATACAAATTAGACAAAACATTATTTGTTTCGTAAAACTCACTTTTGTTTGTGATTATTGAAAACTTGGATATATCTATGCTTAATTATCTTTTTTTCGTATTTAAATCGCTAATGGCAATGTTATATTGCTTTCGTGCAATCAAAAATGAAATCAATGCGCTTATTATCCATTAAAAGTATCCATTCATGATAGGGTACAGTTTTTTACCGAACCAATGAAATAGAGGTGTCGGGAAGCCGCGATACAAACTATTTATTTCTTTCATGTTTGATTTATACGAAAAATATTTTTCCCTTTATTTATTTATTATTTCGTTTTCCGCATAGTTGTTTGTACACACTTGCCTCCGGACAATCGAAGTTTATGATTAAATGTAAATATAGAAACTGTAAAATTTCAAAACATGTTTTAGTGCAAAACAAAGTTAGAATAGTAGCTGTTTCTGTCAAGTATTTTCATAAAACAACAGCTCATAGAGCAGTGTCTTATATTTATATTTGCAGAGGCGAATTTTTAAGAATTTTCTTTTCTTAATAAAAAATGCAGATTAGAGATAGTGGTTTATAAATGAGTGTAGATTTGCTCAAAAGGGACAGGATAATATTAATAAAAACAAGAAAGAAATCGTTGTAAATCAGAATTACCAGAAGCAGAGAGCGTGTTTTTTGCTGCAAATATTGCGTTGCGATGCACATTAAAAATCAACAACAAAAAAACAACAACAAAAAAAGAAACAAAAAACACACACGAACATACACAAAAATAAAAACACGACGTAGGTGGTACAGTGACGGCACACAGTTCCCACCACTGTTCTAACATGTTCATGCGAGTTATTTTGGTACAGACAAAAATGTGCCCTTCTAAGTAATGCGTGATAAATGATTATAGCAGTTTCGTTTATTTTTTATTTTATTAAGTATGACCTATTAAACATGGATAATTTAAATGGTTTATTAGAACGGCATAAAGAAGGGAATATAACAACAAAAACTGAATGCCTCAAATGTAGCCAAAGTATTTCTTGAGAAAAATGATATATGATTAAAAGAAACGAAACAAGATTTAAGTTATAATTCACATGTTATGTGAATTGATGATTTTGCAGTATTAATCACAAAATTTCTACTGCCTGATTAACGCAGTAATGGCTATTTTGCATATTCTGCCCTCTTTTTTATAACTAAAATAGATTGTAAGTGCTTTTTGTGGCAATTTGTAAACTACTTTCTTTGTTCACTTCACAAGTTTTACTCATCGTCCGATACCCACGACCGAGCCATTAACATTTATCGGATTACATGTTGTGTTACATGTTATTCAACCGTTGGTATCCGACGATGTCATTTTTTTTGCTTTAAAATTCATTTCAATGAATATAAACAGACTTAATTAGAAAATAGAAAAATTTTATGTGGGCAAATAGATTGTCAAAAAAACAGATGTAAGAATTGGAATTTTAAGGTTTGTCAGAAGTTTAGACAAAATGATTTTGCAAGTAAAAAATACAGACATGGGAACTCGGAACAAGTAATGGCGGTGCCTTAAAAACATGAATTCAGAAATTACGTCAATACAATACATAAATTGTTTAATCCATTTCACTTGGCCAGGAAAACGAAATGAGAAGTTATGAATTGAGCTCCAGGTTCCTTCCTGCTTGAATATGTTCAGTCCAGTTTATTAACCTGTCAATTCCATACTGATTATACGGTCAATGCACAAAATATATTAATATAAATAAATGATCGGTAATTTCCGTGAGATGTACGCAGTAAGGTGTGATTAAATTTATCTTGTTTCTATGAATTAGTTACACTATAGGGTTAACGCACGTTTTTCCGTGTTATAACGTCTGAAGAGGAACGGTTGGTGCCCGACCCCTGTAGGGCGAGGGCTCCAACAGTTCCGAGGGACTCTGCAGACTTTATAACACGAAATAAACGTGCGTTGACGCTATTATAGCATAAACTTTTAAAACAGATTCATGGTGTCGATTTAATACAAAACACATACATTAAATCCTTGTGCTTGGACGGTATTTATCCAATTCTACATGATTTACGTTATTATGTTTTACGTATGCGTTTTATTTTTCCGGGGCCAACATCTTTGGAAATACAAATGCTCAGAACCGAACGAAATTAGGAATTTTAATTGATTTAACAAAAAATACACATTAAATTACTCTACCCAAGATGAAACATGACCCTCAGAAATTCCTAGAATTATTTCTGATTGACGGTATAAAAAAGATCAATGACATCAGAATCGTTTTTTTTACAAGCACACAAGTTTATAAAAAAATCAGGCACTAAACATTATTCTCTCAAAGAAATATAAAGACCATTAATCAATACAAATATCAATAAAACAACATTTTCTCATATTCATTTTGTGCTATCTTGTTTTGTAAGTTAATCGGAGGGTTTGTTTACATTGACAACGGTCCGTTTCTTAGAAAGGGCGACAACTAAGATTAGCGGCGATGTCTATACGCCGTATTTCCGGCATAGTTACTTGAATGCTGCTCGCCGTTACTTATGCGATTGATGCCCTCGAATCAATAATTTCAATATAACAAA